AAAGACTAATAGATTGAGAGAAAAGGGGTTAAGGAGATGGAGAAAATACGAAAGAAAGAAAGTCCCGCCGGTCGCTTCACTCCTGCCTAAATATGTTGATCTATTTATAAATCCATATAAATCGTATATGTTTAACATTTTATTTATGCATGTATGCACATACATATATAGAATTTGTGAAATTCTCACGGGTTTCGTATAATTGGTCGGGAATTCAGCAGTTGACACCCATTGACGTGCGAGAGAGAGAAAGATAGAGGGAAAGAGCGAAGCGGAGAGGTGAGGATCAACTGAGCGTGCGAGTGAGGGAGCTCGACGCGCATTCAAAAATAACTCAAGTGGACAAATCTGACAATTTTGTGGCTACCAAGACGGAGTCAACAGCAACGGCTACAGCTTCAGCCAAGAGCTTCAGCCAACTGCTACGGCTACGGCTACAAATATAAATACAAATACAGAGGCTCTGAGTCGGAGGCTCAAGTGGCTGCGACTGTGTTTGGTGTTTGGTGTTTGGGCCAGGGTTTGGGTCTGGGCTCGCGGACCCGTCTCTGGGCCTGGATGATTAATGTGGCTTTAATTACATGCGCTGAGAAGTCGTCGACGTCACCGGCCTCGTTGTCGCCGTCAATGTGTATGCTCGGATGGATCACTATAATTATATAGATGGCCGAATTAAATTTTAATTTAACGCCTGTCAAATCAGAAAACCACTTGTATAATCGTTCGCTTAAGCGAGCCACAGCTCCGAGCTTCGCTTCTGGCTCCCAAAACGGAAAAAAAATCGACATGCCCGACTCCCTAACAGTTATTCATTTCACTTCATTCCATTTACTGTCCGACCGCGTTCCTATTGAAAGAAAGAATCAATTGAAGCCACAGCGCCAGCTGCTATTATTGATTGTAATGAGCCACCGAAGGCGTCAACTTCACCAGCTCTAAGCGAATCCAGCCAGAGCCGAAGAAAGAAACGATATTCAAATGAAATGAAATGAAAGAGACCTCTTGCACCATCCAGAGACTGAAAACAATTAAATCCATGAGATTTACATACCTGCGGCTTTTGATGAGTCGCTGAAAAGCATTGTGCGCTGCCCAGATTCATGAATCTATAAATGTATATGTATGTGTGTGCGTGTGTGTGTGCATGTACATTGTGTGTGGAGCAGGCTGAACTATAAAGCGTGCGACTACAGTGGCTGTCCGATGCGGCCTACTTGGTTGGCTGGTGCTATATATAAGACTATAGAGGCAAAACAGTTTAATCAATTGACTTTTTATTATTGCAAATAATTTTTAGTGGTAGTTCTACGATGTAGTCCAGTCTAGTCTTAGCTGAATTCCGGCAGTATCCTTAAATCTCAGACTCTCAGCAAGTTAGTTCAAGTCATCCATTCTAGATTGGGAAATATTAATGGATTTTACATAGATTCCTTAGATGTTGTCTTCCAAGACTCTCAGCCAGTTCGGCCAGATCTTTCCTTCCATAATAATGTACTTAAGGAAAAGGGAACTAGAAACTTTCAGCTAGAGTATAGTATAGTATAGTATTTTTAGCATAACTAAAGACAAGACATCGGTCAAGTTAGGTCAACAAGGTCCATTTGAACTCATAGCAAAAGTATATAAGTAACTAAATAAAAATACATTCCCAATGATCATCTCCAGAAACCAGGAAAAGATTTTGAACTGACATGTCTATAGATATACATACATATATATGCAGATATGTATATATGTGTGATATGGAAAGTACAAGAACTGGGCTATTCGCGCATTGGAATGTCTCTGACTGCATCCTTGCCATAGCTGTGGCTCTTAATTGCCAAAGGCGTTAGTATTAAGTGGTTTTCGTGCTTATTATAAATATCTCTTAATTTTTGCGATCCTCACAGTGAGTGTGTGCATGTGTGTTAGCACATGTGTGCGTGTGTGTATGTGTGTGTGTGTGTATGGCAAAATCTTGAAATGGCAATCACCGACTGCCTTAGCCTTACTCCAGAGCTAACCAGACAAGTGGAGGACGTCGTCGCTCCTGTCGTCGGCTTTGTTGTCATTATGTTGTGTTATTTGGCACGATTTGTTGAACTAAGGAGCTGACGCTGAATCGTCGTCGTCGTTGTCGTTGTCTTCGTTGTTGTTGTTGTTGTTGTCTGCTTTGCACAGACCTGTGGCCGAGACTGGGGCTGTGCGCGGTTGCATGATGCTGCCGATCGATTGAAAATCGATCAGCAAACGATCGGCAGAGGCGGCAATGGAAATGGAAATGGGAACTGGTCAACCGGCAGCAGTAGCTGCTGTCTCCGACCTCAACTCCAACTCCGACTCCAACTCGAATGCGAATTCCCATTCCAACGGTGAGTGTGACTCTGCTGTAAGTGTAAATATCATCCTTGAGTCTTGCTCTTGCGGCAGCTTCAAATGCCCCCAGCTCTTGTATGGTGCATGGCGTATGGGAGCGGGAGCCAAACTGGCGTCGCCTCAGTGGATATAATTGTCGCATGCAACATCGCGGCTATCGCACACATTTATACTTTAGCACGATGCGAAAGAACACGGAATTGGCCAGGTAGGACAGGTAGACATGAAAGGTAACGCATTGCGCTGCCTGACTTGGCTTCGCCTCGCTGTCGCTGAGAGTGAGAGAGAATAAGTAATTCACTTAACGCTTTAATATCGCTGATAAATGCCACAAGGATTCGCCAATACATTGCCCACTTAATTGGTGCAATTTTCAACGATTTTATTTTATTTGCATGTGTTTTATTTCAGGACAAGACAGAGAGGAGTGAAACAGAGAGAGGGAGAGGAGGTGAAGACATCTGTGTGTCTGAGCAGACTTTATGGCAGCGGCGTGCGAACTGAGCTGAAACTCATTTACATACCATTTCGATTCTCTCTCTCTCTCTCTCTCTCTTTTGCTCTCACTGCCTTCCATCTCCCTCTCACACCCTATTTATATAGATCGCGTTCGCATGGCACATTGGAGACAGCTGCTGATTAGTGAATGCTGCGCTGCAAATGAAGTATGAGTCGCACAATTGGACCGGATGCAGGGAATGGAAGATGGAGCGCACATGCTTAGCCAAGCTCCAGGTCCACATTGACCATTCGGCATCGACGTCTATGCGAATTTAATGCAATGGCTAAGCCTATAATTTGATCATATCCACACTATAACTCAGAGCCTGGCCGAAGCTGGTGCAAAATGCCCAGTGGCAACGACCACGAGGCGTGCCCCACACCAGGTCCCGGCCGGGCAGTGACAGAGCCGCGTATAATGGATGCGCAGCAATGCCATTTCTGGCAGATCGGGCTGCAAGCAACGGCTTCTGATAAGACCACCAGCAACCACGGGCCACCGAGACTCTGGCTCCGCAGTAGTTGTTGAAAGCGTCGGATGACCAGTGGTGTGGAGCCGAAGGCCCAACTTGCGCTCACTTAGCGGGCATGCGTCATAACTTAGGCTGCGGTCAGTGGTCGATCGGATTACCCGGCAGGCATTTCAATTCAACACATCCTTTGCTCGCCTGCCCAATTATACCACAGAGCCACTGCCACGCCCACATCAGCGCCCATCGTTTGCGCAAGGGGGGCGTGCGAGATGGTGACGCAAATTATAGCAATGCGCTGACTTAAATAAATGCGCAAGTTTTAAAATTGAAAAGGAATTAACGGTGGGCAGTGCATCCATCGATTGCCTGGGCGCGGCTCCACTGACTTTCCAGATTCCCATCTCACTGGCTGAATGGCAAAAATATTGTGCATAATTATATGCTAATGCTCCAATTGAATTATGGCTGTCTGCATGCAGCTATTGTCCCCCCTCCCTTCCTCTCTCTATACGCATCTGCACCGTATTCTATTGGAAATTACTGCTGCCGGCGCCATGGCTGGTGGCTTTCCAGGAAATGTGACCACACACGCTCCGTTCATATGTGAATCACTCATGTAATTGCATTATTTAACTAAAATTAAAAATTTATTGCAATAAAATTAACAATTTGAATGCACATTCATATTCACATTGAGTTACTGCTCTGTTAATTCCCTTTCTCCTCTCTCATTCCATTCCAGCAGTAAGCATCTGTGTCTAATAGCGAAGGAAATTGCTGCTCCCGGCGCCATAGCTGCTGGTTGGATTTCCAACAACGGGACCACACACGGCTCATTTGTTATTGGAATCGCTCATGTAATTCCACTGTTTTTTGTTTACCGACAGTGGGATTGATTATTGTTAAGAGTGTGATAAATCTCTGTTTTTTATTAACTTTCTGCATGACGAGGCGGAATTTGTGAGTTGAGTCGGAAGAACATGAATGAAATTAATTTGAAAATCAGATCAGCATGATCAGTTATAATTTGTAAAGTAACACAACCTTTACATATACCAAAATTGAACAATAATTAATTAAATTTGTTCGAGTACTGATCGAAAAGGAATGCAAAGGCAAATTCAGTTTACAATTTCAAATGCGGGCTTAATACTTAAAGATATAGGAATGTGTTGATATACATATGTATGTATGTAAGTTGTCATTGTCGTCTTTTTTTTTGAGAATAGATAAAAATAAATTATATTAAAATAAGTTACTTACGTATACGTTATATTAACTTTTGTATTTACATACATATATAATATATATCTGTGAATATACATACGTTTACATATAGTATGTTTTAAATATGCAGTATTCATGTCAGCTGGAAACAAAATAAATCGTAGTGGAAACACGTTAAGTTTTCAGTGTTACCACAAGTATTTATTGTGGTATTGATATTAGTTTTGGTATTTTTTATTATATTTTCGTTTGGCAAATTGTAAAGTTTTTAGCATAACAAAACCAATTTTTACTAAGCCGAATTTTAACATTATGTAATATAAATAAATTAAAATTAGTGTACTTTTTAAATTGCAGTTTTTTATATTAAATTCAAACACTGGAGGTAACGAATAAAACGCAACTTTTCCATTTTCTTTGTGCATTTCTGCAGTTTCTTGAGTCAGCCACACTTACAATGAGCATTCCAAGTGGAACTCTGTATTAACAATTTTTTTTTGGCAATTAACTTTTATGATTGCAATAAATGCGGAAGAAACAAATGCACAAATTGATTAGATGTGTTAATTTAAGTGAAACTAATCGGCGTTAGCTCCCTGTAGTTCCAACTCGCATGAATGTGGCACAATCGCAATACTACGATTGCAACTAACGTCAACGTCAGCAAAAATCTTTGATATCAACTGTGAAGGCGACTCAGTGTAAAAATCAGTTTAGAGACACTACTTAATCCACAATCATGGCTAGCCCAAGAACGCGACGAGTGCTGCAAGAGCTAAAGCCACAGGACGAGAATTCGGTAAGGTTAACCCAGACACACATTTCGAAAGAAAAATACATATTGAACAGATTTTGACGTGTCTCAAAATGAATTCATGTTTTTGCAGAAATGCTTCGAGTGTGGCACTCACAATCCCCAATGGGTGTCGGTTACTTATGGCATCTGGATATGTCTGGAGTGTTCGGGCAAGCATCGCAGCTTGGGCGTTCATCTCTCATTTGTGCGCTCCGTGACCATGGACAAATGGAAGGACATCGAGCTGGAAAAAATGAAGGTTGGCGGTAATCGCAATGCCCGCGAATTTCTAGAGGATCAGGAAGATTGGAACGAACGCGCGCCCATAACGCAACGATACAATTCCAAGGCAGCCGCTCTGTATCGAGATAAAATTTCAACTCTGGCTCAGGGCAAGAGTTGGAATCAAAAGGATGCCGAGGCCCGCTTGAGCAGCACTAATTCTTCGTATAGCTCTAACAGCTACAGCGGCTCCAACAGCAGCTCACAGGGCCGCGCTAATGCAACAGGTTACAGTGGCAATGGCAGCGGCGGAGGCTATCAGAATGGTGGAGGTGCTTACAACGAGGCTGGTGGCTATCAGCAATTCCAGACACAAGAGTTCAAAGATCAGAAGGAAGAGTTCTTCAATCGTCGTCAAATGGAGAATGCATCTCGGCCAGAGTAAGCTCTTATATATAATTTATATCTAAAGAGCTAACAATTTGATTATTCAAACAGAAACTTGCCACCAAATCAGGGCGGAAAATATGCTGGATTTGGTTTCACACGTGATCCGCCACCGAAAACACAATCTCAGGAGCTGATCGACTCCACGCTGACCACTTTGGCATCCGGCTGGAATTTGTTCTCCACAAATGCGTCCAAATTGGCAAGCACTGCCAAGGAAAAGGCCGTAACCACAGTCAATTTGGCTTCGACCAAGGTTCGTTAAGCAAAAATAACAGCTGTTCTTTGTTTGGTTGCTTTTTATTTATTTGTTTAATTTTGTATGAGTTTATGGTTTCTTTTGTTTTTGCTGTAGATTAAAGAGGGCACTCTGCTTGAATCGGTTCAGAGTGGGGTTACAGATGTGGCCTACAAGGTCGGTAGACACCAGACAAGGCTGTGCCTTGCTTTAATTACACTTGTATCAATATATATAAATATGCTGACAACTTGATTCTTATAACCCCAAAGGTTACTGACATAAGCAAACGTGGCTGGAACAACTTGGCGGGCGGCAACAGCTCAGCGTCTCAGGGCGGCTACAACGATCCCAGTCTGGATGACAATGGCTATCAGCGTTCCCATTCGGTAGGCGGCAACTTGGCCGGCGGCCTAGGACAACAGAGTGGTGTTGGCGATAGCGACTGGGGTGGTTGGCAGGAGAATGCCAATAATAAAACGCATCTAACTAGCTCCAGCTCATATCAGAATCAACTTAGTAGCAATGCCGGCGGCACACCCACTGGCGGTCTCACCCAAGACGACGATTGGGCTGGTTTCAATTCCACAAATTATCAAAATTCCGAGACTTCGTATCAAAATACACCGTCTGGCGGTCAGCCCGTTCGCCGAAATATGAAGCTACAGGAGACTTCGCAGAAATTGAGCGAAGGCTTCGACAATCTGGATGTGAAGAATGTGAAAGCCAAGACAGCTGCTTCGTCTACTGGCAAAGCGAGCGCCGAGGATGATGCATGGAATTTGTTAATGAATTAGCAAATAGAAGTAAACCATTATTGAAGTGTATTGTCAAATAACTTAATTTGTTTTGTATTATTTTTTATTGTTGTCATCTTTTTGTTTAAGAAACTAGCTTATTCGTGGGCGCATTTAATGTAATTTACGAATATGTTCCAACCTATTTTTACCAATTTCCAACGAAGAGCAGTTATAATTTCCATTATTTTTACAGGTTAGACCAATTTTGAATAGAAATAATACAAAGCGAATTAATATGCAAAAATATATATATATGTGAATTCAAATCTAACATTTCATTTTATTATTGATATTAAAATGGGGGAAATTTGAATGAGAAATGAAATTACAAATAGCGATACCGATATAGTTAGTATGGTGGAAATTAGATATCATTATACACATATCGATATATCGATACAATACACGAAACTTTCTGTAATGATTTCTCTTTTCTTTCATTCTTTTTCGTTTGAACAGACTGTGTGGACGCGTTTTATCGTTTTATCGTGTGTCACGACATACGAGTTGGCAGTGCGCGCAGTTTATTCGGTTAATTAGGAGCCAAAGTGAATTCAATCATTAAATTTTACAGTTTTTCATAAATATACATAATTTTTATAAAATTAACAACTTAGGTAAAAAGTCGCCAACCGATGCAGCCCCGCAAGAAAGTCGCGAGTTTTTATTAGCATTTCAGCGTGCTTGCTTGTGCGTGTGTGTATGTGTGAGTGTGTGACTAAGTGTGTGTGCATAGAAACGCGTACGCAGAAATTTAATTTTGCCAATTTGGCAAATAGAAGAAAAAAACTTAACATGAAATTTGAGACTCGTGCTATACAACAAAGAACCGAAGGCCAATCTGTTTAAATGACTGTAGTTGTAGCTGTATCACCAGCAGCAGCAGATGCAGCTTACGCACACACACACATAGAAAGAAAGTTCCAGCATCGTCGCTCCACCCACCCGCTCTGTTGGTTGCGGGTTGGGAGTTGCCAATTTTCAAGGCTTCGCCTACTGAACTTCCGATTTGCCCTTTTAGCTGTGAAAGAAATAAAAATTCAATTCAATTAAATTAATGATTCACTAGCAGTCGCAACTGCCCAGCTGGCAATCAGCAGCAGCAGCCGCCTCGATTATGTTTAAATTTAGTGAAAGTGGGCTCATCCACGAATGACTTCATTTTCATGGCACCGATTTCGGTGCGAGGTTCGCAGCTGATTCGCTGCTCAGGGGAAAATAGGCACATTTGTAATAGAATTTATGCTTGACTGGGATTCATTATTCTTCTTATTTTGTTTACTTTAGAATAAATGCCTTTCAATAAACATTCAAGCGCACATATATACATATGTACTTTTATATATATTTTGTTTAATCTATATTATGTGAATAAGCAAAAAATTTCAATTTCTTTATTTATAGACATTATAGAAAGTGCGACGCCACGCCCCGCGACACAACGGCCCATCAGTTTTCAGTTCAGTTGTGTTTTTATCTAGAAAACGTTACCGAGCCCAAAATCAAAATGTTTCAGCCATAGGAATAGACGCCCGTTCGAATATCTATATATATCTAAAGTGAAACATTTGTCGGGCATTCCTAGGGACCTGACAAAAAAGACAACAAAAACTAAAGCAAAAGATAAGAAGTACTCTTACTGCATTTGAGGACAGCGTCTGCAAAAGCAAGTACAAATACTTGAACAAACGTTAAGACGAGTCTGGAGAATGGTTAAAAAGCAAGTCGGTTTAGAAAACAACGCGTCCTTAGTATTAAGTCAGCAGTCTGAGCAGCAGCCGGAGAAGAAGCACCAGCAGCAGCATCAACAGCAACATCAAGATCATCATCAATATCATCATCAAGCTGAGCAAACGCAACGCATTGATATCGATTTGACACCGGAGGAGCCAAAAAACGATTTCAACTTTGCTCGCCAGGCAACTGCCACCTATGCCCCAATAAACTCAGTGAACAGTCCAAGCTATGAGAGTTTGCACAAGCTGCACCTGCAACATGCGCATCTTGCCCCAACGACGCCCTACAATCTCGACACCGTCCCACCACAGAATACGGTGGCATTGGCCGTGTCGGGCGTGCCACTCTCCATCATGCCCAACGAGATACCTGCTGAGGACGAGGAGCGGCTCGAGCGGATCTTCAACCAACTGGATCGCGACGGCGATGGCAAAATCGACATACAAGACCTGTCGGCGGCCCTGCACGAGTTTGGACTCTCCAGTGTCTACGCGGTGGTGAGTGAGAGATGATGGCGTAAGCATCTGGTGGGTTGCCATCAAAACATATTCCGACTGCGAATTATCGCCCTGCAGCTGCTTAACATCATCAAACACGCTTTTGCATTAATTATTCATTGAGAAATACTTTGTGAATATTTTGTAAATCTTCTGTTGTCTGCCAACAACATTCTGATCTTTGCACACCTCAATGTCCGACTGTTTGTCTGAGTGTCAAGAGCGCCATATCTGATGTGCATAAACATGTAATGAAATTTTGCATAATTGGCCTCTGGGTGGCATATTTTTATGGCTTCAACCAGAAGAAATATGCATAACGTCTCACTAGATCCGCGTATTGTTTGATTCTATTGATTTTGGCAAATGGGCTGCAGTTGTTTTTCATCTTTTTCGACAATTATCGGAGGCCAAGGTTAAGCAGTGCAGATGCCAACTGGGTCACGCGTGTATAATTTGGCAATTGTTTGCTTTGCTTTCAGTTATTTTTGAGTTATTAATAGGCTTTATTGTTTGATTTTGAATAGAAATTCCTGCAACAATCGGACAAGGACCAAAGTGGGAATGTGGGTTTCGCTGAATTTCTTCATTATGTGCGAGAGCATGAGAAGAACTTATGTCTACAGTTCTCGCACTTGGACAAAAATCGAGATGGTAACTTGACTTAATGATCTATCTGTATTATATATATGATATTAAATATTGTTTCACAGGCAAAGTGGACTTGGAGGAGCTGATATCTGCGTTCAAAGACCTTGGCCTGGACATTGACGTTGACGAGGCTACGAAACTGCTTGGCAGGTTGGAACTCACGTTCTTAACATATATTGATAAATATTCATGATGATTCCTCTCACAGAATGGACAAGGATGGTAGCCTAAACATAAGCTTTAACGAGTGGCGCGATTTTATGCTACTGGCGCCCTCGACGGACATTCATGATCTGATCAAATTTTGGCGGCACTCTACTGTAAGTGAAGGGGCTCGTTTGTCTCATTTAGTTTGTACTGTAGCTGCTAGTGATTGAATAGTGTAAGCATTTGTCGCTTTATATGGATTTGGTTTGGCTTTGGAAATGGAAAGCGGAGGAAAGGTATGCACAGGCAGCTGCCAGTGTTTATATTGTAAGCTGATCCCGTGCAAACTTGACTCTATTTCCATTTACAGCCAATGCCAATTTGTACTTTGCTGTGCTCCGTTGTCTAGACACTTAGACACATATATTTAGCTGTTTATCTTATCGTATTGCATTTGAAACTAATCGTTAAACCTTTTTACCCTCCTCGTTTCGTTAATATGCGTCTATACAAACAAAAAAAAAAAAACTTACCTATATACCAAACATATATGTGTACTATATTGCTTTAAAATGTAGTTCCTGCATACACATCACTCCTGACTAACTGAGGATGACTTGAAGGTACATATCGTCAAAGTTAACTAATTACAATTAAACATAAAATTTTATCTAATAGTCGTACATAAATAAGTAGTCGCTAAAGGGCACAAACATATCTCTTTCTCATATTCATACACACACAAACATATCAGCATTTCCTCTTCGTTTCACCTCGTACTCTCCTCCCTCACTCAGTTATTATCAGCGACTGTTGACATTCAAAACTCAGTCATGGCAGTTCCCTGTTGACCCAATGAGCACTTGCTTTATTGGAGGTCAGAGTAAAAAAGAGTAAAAAGCTCTGGCAAAAGCTCTGCCACTCTCTTTGACATTTACGCACGCTCTTTATCTCTCTCACTCTTTTTCCAATTGGCTGACGCAAGAAGGGGGCACATTTCATCATTTTGTTAAAGCTTTTGACTAGCTTTTAATGATCGCGTCTGGATTCGCTGTCAAATGATCTTTTATCATGCGCTTATCAGTCAGTTTCACTCTTATATGATGAGCTGGCTGCTCTTGTGTTTGTTTATGAGTCGAGTGAGAGTAATCCATTTAAATGACTTTGCTTTCTGCGTAATCATTTTGTTTACATGTATTTTGTTGATTTTGCTTGCATTGGCAGTCGAGTATTTTTTTTTTTACTCCCTATAATATATAATTAATTGAAACCAAGTGGTTATGATTTTCCATTTGCTGAGCTGCTTCATTGAGCTAGTACATTCTCCAAGACTTTTATATACGTAAAATTCGAAGATAAACTCCCTCAAGACTGCTTTTATTTGCCTTTGTCTGTCTGCTGCAGTTTATTGCCCGCGTTTTTGACTCTTAAGGTCAACCAGCTTAAACAGGCCATTGTGGTATTTGTACCTGTCTGGCAACAGAGACTGCGCCATAGGAGGAGACAGATAGAAGCTGGATCCGCACAGTCCGGTTCTTGGTTGCTACGCAGTTGCTTTTTTTTTATTTAATGAGCAGCCAGAATTGAGCTTATCTTGACATTTGCGTTTAGCAAAATCTAAAGCGTACAGCCCGAATACCCTAGAAAGTTAATTAAAATAATTGCTGTGGAAACTCATATGTATATACATACTTATAAAAAATTCCACAGCAATCGAAGAGCATTGAGCGTATTTCTGATAAGGGTATTTACTATGTCGTTTGGCTTTTGTGCAAAATATTTACGCTACAATTGTATACGTATTATAAATAGTTCCGTTGTTGATTTAAGTCTATGGCTTTAAAAGTCGTCGCGTGTCTGGCAATCGCAAAAAAAAAATATTTTTAGGTCCATATGTTTTTCAAGGTGCTTAATCTGCCCTATGAGGTGTTCTCTATATTTAGAGCACAATATGTGGAATCTATTATTACCAATTTTATGAACTGTTGCATTTTATTCATTTCCTCAGCAGTCAATTTCAATTGTTTGGTTCTGTTTCATCTGTTTCATTTAACAAGAGATAAACAATGCAATTGCTTACATTTCTACTGCATAAATTAATTGAGAGCTATTGCAGATCAATTCAAAGTTGACTGTGCAAAAACAGTCACAAAAAAAAAAAAGAAAAAAAAATAATAAATTGTTTAATTGAAAATTAATTTTAATCGTCAAA